TACTCTAGATACTAATTGATTAATTGATCAAGCAACGGCAAGAGCAAAAGATAATCCAGCTTTTGGTAATCCCACTTCAAGTTATTTTTCTAACATGATGATTCATCAAGCATGGAATATAATTTTTTTAAATTTGTATGACAGAAAGAGAGACTAAGTCACTAAATTGCATTACTGTGATTCGGAAGGATTGGTATGAATAACTAAAGTGTCAACCAACCAGTGGAAGTTCAATTTAATGAGCACAAACTTGGGCATTCTCCTAACCTTCAGCAGGAAATCAAATGAATCTTGAAGTTTGAGCAAATGTGTCCATCATACAGGTCTAGAATCTATTCAAGCGCTCCCAAAAGAACAGGCAACAATGGAGTTTTCCTATCTGGCTTACTAATTTGCTAATTAAGGCAAACAATCCGAATATATGGGACTAAAAATATCATTTGGACGCCTTGTGGCTATCACTTGATGGGCACTCATATATCAGTGGCTCACTTTGCTCTAATGTATGGGTATGGTCGCTTTTTGATAAGGACCCACCAGTTGAACGTGCCCACGTTTTATGCAAGTCTAAGAAATGAAAGTTCAGTGCCGACTGACTGTACAATCGTCCTGGCCTAGCCACTGATTAGCTTTTTGACAAGTGATGTATAAAACGCGGACCCCGCAGAAGCCCCAATTCCAGTCTGGCGACATCGAGATCCATGAAAAAATCAACTAAGTTGTGGCAATCATGCACAATGGTCACTCCAATCGACAATGATACATCCATGTTTTGATTTTGTGGCCTAAGATCTCCTCTACAAACCACAAGGGGATCAGGGAAAAAGATATCATAGGTGTTGAAGGTGTAAATTTGGACCAAGATGTGGATTTATTAGTTGGGTTGATACAAAAATCACTCAATCACCAAAGATTGCGTTAAAAAAATTTCTAGGGAGCAATGTCAAAGAAAAAATTGTTCCATGAAAGTTAAAGCGAGAGCTCTCAAAACACAACTGAAACGTGTGAAAGAAGATGCGGCAAAACTCCACCATTAACGGACACTGCTAGAAGAGTATTATGCAACTAGTAATCTACTAGCAGAAGTACATGCCCACTTGTTAAAAAGAACAGTTGTTGTAATCTACAGGGGTATTTCAACTTGGTAAATGGATTATTTCGTTAGTAAGTTATAAATACACGTTGTTACTCATCAAATCTCAAACAATGTTAATAATTGACTAGGAATTTATAGTATTAAAATAATTATTTAGTTCGTAAGTTATAACCGTTAACCGACATTACGAGTAAAGTAAGTAAGCAATTCGTGCTCTTGTAGAGAAAAAACAGTCTGCTTGGAAAATTCAAAAACAATTGGTAATCTAATAATGGATTTAAGCAAGTTAAAATTATTATTTCTTTGTTAACTCACAGACAATTGACTGGATCAATAAGTTATCAATCAATTTTTACCTATAAAAAATATTTCAAATTCACTATCGGTTATTCAAATTTACCATATGCAGAACAAATTTCTGTTCTGCGGTGCTCTTAGACGTCACCTAAGCCGACAAACGTGTTTCAACTCATATCGTGCAATAATTGAGCCGGGAATAATTTGGGGTCTGTGGTCCCTCTTCGCCTGTATAAAGCAGTGACCAAAAAATGAAAAGCTAACACCCACTAGCTACAAAAAGATTAGTGCTTCACAATCATCTACTTGTTTCAATTCTTACTCAAACATCAATGGCACACCAGCAATTTTCTTCGCAGTCCGCCATAGTAGGCAGTGAAGAACATGACCGGGAGGCCATTGACGAACTAATTGCTTCACTGCCCCAAAGGAAAGGCGTGGTTCGTCCTTTCCAGTCCCTCTACCAAGACTTCTGGTGCCCAACCTACCTGCTTCCCAACGTGATCGCGTTTCAGCGGCACTTCCAAGCCAAACACAAGGACATTGTCCTGGCCTCTCAGCCCAAATCAGGGACCACCTGGCTAAAGGCCTTAGTGTTCTCCGTCGTTAACCGTTCCCGCTTCGGCATCTCCAACACGCCCTTGCTCACTTCGAACCCCCATGACCTCGTCCCTGGCTTCGAGCACCAGCTGTACGGAAGCAACCCGAGGCCCAACCTTGACAGCCTGGCAGAGCCGAGGCTCTTCGCAACGCACATCCCTTACCCATCCTTGCCAGAGTGCGTCAAGCAGTCAGACTGCCGGATCATTTACATTTGCCGGAACCCATTAGACGCTATGGTTTCATCTTGGCACTTCTACCTCGAGACTGCACAGTCGAATGACCAGCCGGAGTGGTCCTTGGAAGAACATTTCGAGATCTATTGCCAAGGGAAAATATCGTTCGGGCCCTTTTGGGATCAAATTATGGGCTATTGGAAGGAGAGCTTGGAGAGGCCACACAAGGTGTTGTTCCTCAAGTATGAGGACTTGAAGGAAGATATTGTAGGGCAGCTGAAGAAGGTGGCCGAGTTTGTGGGGCTTCCCTTCACTGAGGAGGAAGAGGAGGGAGGTATGATTGAAGAGATAGTCAAAATGTGTAGCTTAAAGACCCTCAAGGACCTGGAGGTCAACAAAGCCGGCAAAATACCAGTTATGAATATGAAGTTTGTGAACAGAAGCTTTTTCAGGAAAGGCGAGGTGGGTGATTGGGTTAAGCATCTCACTCCTTCCATGGTGGATCGCCTCAATAGCATCATGCAAGAGAAGATGAGCCCCTTTGGATTGGAGTTCAAAACACGTTGAGTGTTAATTAATTTCACTTTCTCGATGTGTGTCATTAGAAATAAACGAAATTAATAATGGAAGGATCTGCAATCCTCCTTTTTGGTGTAGTGTAGAGAACTCAAGGTTGAGAAGAGAAGTTTATTAGGAAAGGCGAGTTGGGTGATTGGTTTAACCATCTCACTCCTCCTATGGTGGATCGCCTCAGTAGCATCATGCAAGAGAAGATGAGCCCTTTTGGGTTGCAGTTCAACACATGTTGAACATGTTGGTTGCTTTCGACCCCTTCTTTCTCTATGTATAACATAGTAGAAATAAATGAAAGCTAAATCGAATGGTTTTCCCAGTCAACTTCTCATGTCGTGCTTCTCCTCATTATTTGGTTAGTGTAGAGAAAGAAAAAGAATCATTCCCAATTGAACTAAAGAAACCCTGACTTTCTCTGGGCTAAAGACCAGACAAATATGGGATGCTGATCAATCGCATTCTTTTGTTCAATTAAAACTTTTTTGATCTGCAATCTTAATATTGAAACTACTGATCTCTATGTCTTGTGTCCCAAAATCACAACATCGACCAACGAAAAACTGCGAATATTTGACAAACAAGAATCCCATTATATGAGCAAGGAAGGTTCTACTGATCTATTTAAAAAGAATAGGATTCTTTTTTCCATGCTGGTAAATATTTGAAAATGTTTGTGTAAAAAAACTATTGGTAATATCGATCACCTAATTTTTTTGTAATTTCTTGATAACTTACCGACACTTTTATTGAATTGCAAACTTTTTTTGATAATTTACAAACATGGTAAATAGATTATTTCGTTAGTATGTTATAAATACACGTTGTTACTCGTCAAATCTCAAACAATATTAATAATTGACTAGGAATTTATAGTATTAAAATAATTATTTAGTTAGTAAGTTATAACCGTTAACCGACATTACGAGTAAAGTACGTAAGCAATTCGTGTTCTAGTAGCGAAAAAAATAGTCTACTTGGAAAATTCAAAAACAATTGGTAATCTAATAATGGATTTAAGCAAGTTAAAATTATTATTTCTTTGTTAACTCACAGACAATTGACTGGATCAATAAGTTATCAATCAATTTTTACCTATAAAAAATATTTCAAATTCACTATCGGTTATTCAAATTTACCATACGCAGAACAAATTTCTGTTCTGTGGTGCTCTTGGACGTCGCCTAAGCCGACAAACGTGTTTCACCTCATATCGTGCAATAATTGAGCCGGGAATAATTTGGGGTCTGTGGTCCCTCTTCAACTGTATAAAGCAGTGACCAAAAAATGAAAAGCTAACACCCACTAGCTGCAAAAAGATTAGTGCTTCGCAATCATCTGCTTGTTTCGATTCTTACTCAAACATCAATGGCACACCAGCAATTTTCTTCGCAGTCCGCCATAGTAGGCAGTGAAGAACATGACCGGGAGGCCATTGACGAACTAAATGCTTCACTGCCCCAAAGGAAAGGCGTGGTTCGTCCTTTCCAGTCCCTCTACCAAGACTTCTGGTGCCCAACCTACCTGCTTCCCAACGTGATCGCGTTTCAGCGGCACTTCCAAGCCAAACACAAGGACATTGTCCTGGCCTCTCAGCCCAAATCAGGGACCACCTGGCTAAAGGCCTTAGTGTTCTCCGTCGTTAACCGTTCCCGCTTTGGCATCTCCAACACACCCTTGCTCACTTCGAACCCCCATCACTACAAAAAAACAAGGGATTAGCGACGAATTTTGCGACGAAAAATTTGGCAAAATCCGTCGCTAATCGAATTTGCGACAAAATTAGCAACTGAAAAAATTCCGTCGCTAATTCGGCGTCGCAAAATTTTGCGACGGAAAAAAATTTGTCGCAAAATTCGTCGAAAATAATTTGTCGCAAATTAGCCACGAACTTTATTCGTCGCAAATAATTCATCGCAAAATTCGTCGCAAATTAGCCACGAACTTTATCCGTCACAAAATTCGTCGCAAATTAGCCACGAACTTTATTCGTCGCAAATTAGCCACGACTTTTATTCGTCGCAAATTAGCCACGAACTGTATTCATCGCAAAATTCGTCACAAATTAGCCACGAACTGTATTGATCGCAAAATTCGTCGCTAAATATTCGTCGCAAATTATACACCATTTGGGCCATCAAATCTTGTTCATAGCAATAGCTACGCATTAATGAACATCATGTAATACATTCAAAACAATCAAAGGACACGAGAACCATAGATTCCGCTTCAGAAATAGAAAACGAACAAACCAGACACAATGCCATATAATTGAAAAATATAACCGAAGGAAAGATGCTAGTCCGCAAAAAATACTAAAAGAAGAAAGTAGCGAAGAAAGTTTCTACCCAAAGCAAAGCTCATCAGGTTGTACAGCCATAATCTTTCAGCAAGGCACAAAAAGATGAAGCGACTTTAAACTATTCAATTTTTAGAAAAATAAGGAAGAAAATATACCGTGGCAATAATAAGAAATGCTGCAACAGGAAATCTCTTCATCCTAAAAGGAGGAACAGAATAGATGGTTCCAAGAAAAAGACCCAGACTGTAAAGAGAAGTAATGAATGATCCAAAGTTTGAAGCAACGATCGACAGGCCAGTCACTGCAAAAAATATCACCAAAAGCCAGGCATGTTGAATAGAAAGATCTCCTGCTGCTATAGGCAAATAAGGTTTGTTGACCCTGAAATAAGATAAAAAAGATACTAATCATAAAACTGGAGGGTAAGCTGGGGACATTGATCCTCAAAAGCGTAGGCATGACAAGAAGGTTAATTAAAAAACTGGAACTCCAAAGAACCGTGAGTTCTTGCATGGTACCTCAAACACTAACCTAAATCTGATGTCCAGCAAAAATTGGGATGTCACATTTTTTCATTATGAACACATGCATTCTTTCTCACTTTAAACATCTATGCTGAAGTCGGAAGAACTTTTGCTCTGTTTCTCAGTTCCAATATCTTGGTAGTTTTTCATTTCTTCTCATGCTAGTAATAGTGACGCCGTAACCAACATCTTGAATTTTTACATACTTTAATTTCAGAATTTTTGGACTTGATATGAGTAGTAGGATAGCCTAATTTTCGGACCATGTAAAACTGCCCAGAACGGATATTTCTGTGATGTGCACACTTTCTCTATTTTCTACAAATTTTTCTGGGCCGAATTTTAATAAGCTTCCTTCACAAAAGTTGTTGAGAACTTCTTTCTCTATAACATATATAAAATTGAGAATTTTTGGAGATGATTTGGATTCTGGAAAGAGCTTACTTTGAGAAGCAAAGATTCTGTTCTAGCAAACTGTTTTTAGTTTATCTTTGAGCTACTAAATGTTATGTTTAAAGAAAGATTCAGATTTTGTGTTCTTCATAGGAAATATTCGTTAAAGTCTTGTTTATGACATATTCAAATTTGAGAATTTTCGGAGTCCATTTACTATGTTTTCAAGTCTGATTTCTAGAACAGTGCAAAAACTGCCAGTTTTCCCAGATTTCAAAAATTCATCATTTTCTATATGAGAACGTTGGAATTTCGGAGGTTATGCTTAAATGCCATAAACCGGTTGTCCTTAAGTGCCATTGATGGACAAGAACAAGCCCTACTCGGCCAAGCTTGGGGAGCAAGAAGCCGAATTGACCAAGTCAACATTGAACCATTAATTGAGGGCTAATCATTAGAAGATTCTTATCTTATAAGATCTTCATTAATTGAGTGATCTTGCATGTTCTAGAGGGAGTCTCACGCCCAAGAGAGCTTAGAGGACAAGAATGAAGACCAAGACAAAAACAATTATTGGAGAGACCGTTATTAGAGGCTTATGTGTCCTCTTGGAAATTAATACATAGGCTTATGTGTCCCTAAGAATTAGAGCCTAATGACCCTAAGGTAGAAACTTGGAGACCAAGTTGAGAGATGTGTGGCCTCAATTAAAGGCTTGCATAAGAAGTTTCATGATGGTCAAAAACTTGGAAAGCAAGTTTTGGGGTAGAAACATGTGACTAAAATCTAAACCCAATGATGACCATTTCTTGGGTATTAAATGAAGGAGGATTCTAGAGAGTCAAGAACTTGGGGAGCAAGTTTTGACTATTAAACTTGGTGAACAAGTTAGTGATTTGCCTATAAATAGGCTTGATCCCCCTTAGTTTCCACACACCACCTCCTCTTCCTCTCTCATCTCTCATTTTCACGCTTCCCTCTCTCTCCCTCACCCTCACACCAATCACCTCTCTCCCTCTCTCTCACCTGTTCGCCGCTGCCGACTGCCGTTTCCCCGTTCGAACCCCGTAGACGTTTTCTTGTACCTGCAAGCGAGTGGATTCCCTAATACTTGAATAGGGCGGTGTGTTACGTAGTTGGAACACGGCATGTGAGTGAATTCCCTAGTACTTGGATAAGGCGGTGTGTTTCGTGGTTGGAATATGGCTTGGAAAGTTGTTGTTGCTTGAAACGATTTTGTTCTTGTGCATGGTTGCATGACGCTTGGATGCGGTAGTTTATGTGATATGTTGATGTTCTTAACCATACTTGTTGAATTATGATCTTGTGAGCTTTTCATGAGTACGTACAACTAGGGCACCGGCTTGTGCGACCTATGATGTGTGATCACTAAACGAAAGAAGAAGACCGTCGTCACATAACGTTGGCGGCAATGACTCAGTTGAGCCGGGATGCCCTAGTTGAGCTAGGATGCCTGGGTTGAGCTCGGATGCCTCGGTAACTAGCGCCAGGCTGCCCTAGTTGAGTTAGGATGTCTTGGTTGAGCCCGAATGCCTCAGGTGTGCTAGCCCCGGGATGCCTCGGTTGAGCCAGGATACCTAACATGAAGCTGGATGTCTCGGTTGAGCCGGGATGCCCTGGTTGAGCCAGGATGATGATAAATGAATCTTATATGTGTGCCGGTATATGTGTTTATTGATAAGCCGAAGGTTTCCGGATGCTCGAAGGATTCCGGAGGACTCATCACCCACGTATAGAGACGGCGATGCCTGATGGATAAATGAATTCATGAGTGAATATTTTATGGTATTTTTGCACGCCGATTGATTACGAGGCTTCACGTATAAATTTTCTTGTACATTTTTATGTGACCGGGTAAAAGTGAGCTTTCATGTTAACATAGCAAGAGCAAGGTCAAAGTCTTTGCTATTGATTTGCCATCGACATAAGGCGGGGAAAATATTTGTATACGTTAGTACGACGGCGAGGCATCATCCGGTACGAGTATTAGTGAATTTACTCATTGAGTTTTCAACTCACTCCCGTTGTTTTCCATGTTTTCAGGATGAGCTCCACGCCCCAGGTTCGCTTTGGTGTACCTGTCGAGATGGAGGTTGACCTAGAGGAGCTAGGATTAACCTCGGCCTTCGCTTGTGATATGGTTTATACATGGAACGGCCCATAGAAAAGAGCTTGTAAAATATGTTTAAGTAAAATGGCAATAGTGTGTTTTGTCTGTTGTGCCTTCCTTGATTTTCAGCTATTATTTATTTGGGAATTTGTTTATACACGCTTATGCACTTATTAATAAGATAAAAGAAACGAGACGGCGACGAGCTTGGAACGTCGCATTAATAACCCCAAGGTGAGGTAAGGACGTCGCAGCTGGTGCTAACGTGGACAATTTTTGCAATTTTCTTTCAATTTTCAATTTCCTACAGAGATAGAGAGAGAAGTAGAAACCAACCCAAATAAAACCTTATCAACTTCTCAATCAATTATATGGCAATGACTAAACCAGCATGCTCAAGAACCATCCGCGAGTTCCCCAAAGAAAGGCCTTCCAGATCGTTATGATGTGAATAATGTGATCGGCGCAATCGACATCACCTATGCGGCCGATAAAAGACTTTCACCTAGGATTCATAGTGAAATCGATTATGGCGTGTGCATAAGAAGTCAAAAGATATAGTTTACGTGAACCCGGTGCATCTAAACCCAGTTTATCTCAGTCATTAGATCATATTGATCTCAAGTGAGTCCCACAACATTCAATGGTTAAAATGAAGTGGGCTTATGTTGTGGGCTTACACAATCATGATGCAAACAAGAATTTTGCATCATTTAGGGGTTCCGTCATTTTCTTCGTTTGTGTTTACAGATGAAAATTGCATAATCAATCGTAAGGAAACCAATCGAGTCGTAAACATTTTAATTGAACCAATGTAATCCTAAACTTTTGAGGGACAGCTCAATCAAATCCTATCAGCAAGTTTCGCCTGAATAATCTAAAGTGGTAGTTCAGTAAACGCCGACTATCTTATGTATAATAGAAATGGCATGACATGGACTTAATTTCAATGAGACGACGCCGTTTTTGCTTAGATAAACGGCATTGTCTCTTAGCTTTGCGTAATAGCCCGAAATTAGTTCCAAAATTCCCAAATCAATCCTTCGTGCTTGAACCCTAATTCCCCAAAGAAACCCCAATCCTTGTCTTGGCGACATCAAAATCCATGAAGAGATCTACAAAATCGTCGCAAGAAATGATAGCTATCCCTCCAATCGACAATGATACATTTGTATTTTACTATTGTAGCATGAAATCTCCTCTGGAAACAACAAGGACGAAGGAGAATCGAGGAAGAAAATATGATAGCTGTGGAAGATATAAATGTGGAGCAAGTTACTTGTTTATTAGTTGGGTTGATGCAGAAATCAATCAATTGCCAAAGAGTATGTTACAAAAGGTTTCTAAAAAGCAACGTCAAAGAAAAAACTATGTCTACCCATCACGAGGATAATGGCAATTCCGTGGAAATTATGGCACAACTGAAACATACGAAATAAGATGCCACAAAGTTTAAGAAAGGAAATTTCAAATTGAAGATATACCAAAATTTCACAAAGCATGTACGAACGATTAATCATCATGATACACCAATGCTTGAGTCCCGTAGGAATAAAGTGCGAGCAAAAGTGAGGAAAGAAAAAGAAAGTGAAGTTTATCAAGACAATATACCTGCCTAAAAAGATAATTTCGATGGGTTGCAGCTATGTCTCGATGCACCCTTAAATATGAGTAGCTCACTTACCTCTAATGTATGACTATGGTCGCTCCACGTAAACCAGAAAACGAGAGCCCCAGCAATTTGATATGGACCCACCGTTGCAAGTAGTCCATTAGAAGGCGGTCAACGTGCCAACTAAGTAGTGATGTTACCAAAGGATTGGACAATTGAATGCCAACGGGCCGTCCAATCGTCCTGGCCTAGTCACCATGTTAGTGAAAGAAGGATATTAGAAGTGTCAAAATTTGTGTACGGTATTTTTAGTGCCAAAAATTTGTTTCGAATTATTTAAGTGCCACTTTTAAAAAAAAACGATCACTAGATATTTTAGGGATAAAGTGTGTTATATCCGCAATATTCGAAAAAACCCCAAATTAGAAATTTTTCCTAATTTAACAACGTACCTGGACGACTATCTGACATTAACTCTAAGGTACGATATGCGGCGGTGCGGAAGACTGTTATCTTATCCATAACTACCTGGATATGATAATATATATTATTTGGGCAAAAGGACACTATAAGTGCCATAAGTTGTGTACGGAGATCACTTTGGTGCCATAACTTTTTTTCGAATCACTTTGGTGTCAACTTTTTTGAAAAATAATCACTTTAGTGCCAATGCTGACATGGTCGCTGGAAATCTGACGTGGCTCTTTTTTTATTAATTTCCGATGCTAACATGGCTCGCCGGAAATCTGACGTGGCTCTTTTTTTTGCCGGAATTTTGGCCGGAGTCATTAAAGTGATCTCTTTTCCTCCGACTTAGCACCAAAGTGATCCGAAAAAAAGTTATGACACCAAAGAGATCTCCGTACACAACTTATGGCACCTATAGTGTCCTTTTGCCATATTATTTGCTTTTCAAATTCAAACGGTCGCTTTTCCACCGATATCTATGACCATATAGATATGATCGTTAGCTCGAACCGTTTTCCTAATTTGAACATGACAAATAAATATTGCGGATTGTGTGGACTATTTGAATGCGATTACT